CTTATGTTTATGTTTATTTTGCATGCTTTTAATTATGTTGTAATTATTATGCACGCGATCCGGTTATCGGGTTTTATTTCCGCGCGGTGTCGGACATCGCAAAACCCAACAGGTTAAAATCATAGGTGGGAATGAGTCCACCAATCCAACATAATGTGAACATAAAGCCAAAGGTTACAATTATAATATGTATATAATAATTGATAACAATAAAGCAAGTATAGAAATAAATATAATTAGCTTGGACGTAGCCTTTGTAGTATAGTCAGGAGGGTATTGCGAAGCATAGTGTAATTTGAGGAGTAGTATGTCGTTTGAAGTGGCATTTGCATGAAATAAACTATAGTAGTTTTACTCCTAGTGGAATAAGGATATGGGAGGTTAAGTGAAATTGGTGTAGAAAATCGTGGATACTTGCAGAGAGTTGGCATGAAAGAAGTAGTTTGTAATGTGTGTAGAGGGGAATTATATACGTAGGATTGGAATAGAGTTTATGGGAGGATGACTTTTCTATTTATAAGTCATTTGATAGATGGTTGGAGACTTGGAGAATAGAAGGGGGTGTCCTTCATGAAAATAGGAAAAGGTAGTTGTTCTTTGATTTGGTCTTTCAACGAACTAGGTCTTCTTTAGGGTGTATAATGTTCAACAACTTCTATGACTTGTTGGTGGCAAACAATCTCTCCATGATTTTATATATATATATATATATATATATATATATATATATATATATATATATATATATATATATATATATTTCCGGGCGATGTCCAAATTGTCCTAAACTTTTTAGCTTAAATACGATCATATAACCCCCTTTTGATAATTTAAAGTATTTAGACACACGATATCATATCGCTTATTTATATAATAGTGTACTCTTTGTAGTTTTATTTGTAAATAGATATCTATGTTATTATTAACTTGATTTTTTTATTGCACTTAAATTATCTCTAATGAACTGGAAGTATTTTTACCAAACTAAATTTTTTTTTTCTAATTAAAACTTATTTTTACTGATTTTTTATTTTTTATTAAAATATATTATAAATAGATCTCATTTTAAAGAACTTTTTAAAACGAATTTTATGATGGAAATAGTACTGAGTTATAAGATATTTATTAAAAGTTATAATTAGTTTTGTATATATGAAATATTAGAAGTATATCGGTAATAAAACACTATACAACATTTTTATCTTAAAAAATGTATCCAAAATTCGCTTACTTAGCGTCCTATGTGTCACAATAATACCATTTGTCGCCTACGTGGCTCGACACTTGGTGAAAAACTGGAATGCCAAGCGTCGATGTCTCGTTGCCATATATATATATATATATATATATATATATATAGGGGAGGGATCCGGTGAGAATAGGTCTTTAAGTGAGAAATCTATCATATATGAAAATACATAACAACCATTAAATAGAACTAGATCCAATAATTGAGATCACTCCAATAGTAATGGCAAAATTGTAAATTTACGCTCAAATAAAACCCTCCCAAAATCTCTAAAACCCAAGCATTCTACTCATCCTCCAAACCCACGCTCAAATTATCAACTTCTCTCTCTCCATAAAGCTGCTTGACTTTCTCTCTCTTCTTGTTCTTAGGTAAGTAATTCAATTCTTATGATTTAATTCTTTCTATTCATTGTATTCTTATGATTTTTGCTGCGAATTTTTTGAGCATTTTTATGCGATTTTTGTCAATTTTTTAAGCGATTTTTTGCTGCGATTTTGATAAGTTTTTTCTCAATTTTTTCCCTGATTTTTGCAATTTATATGCTCGAGTTTGTTCGTTTTATGTTTGATTTATGTTTGATTTTTGCAGGTTCATAACATTAGGTTTAAAATTATGGATGAACAAACAAATACAGAAGCAGGTTTAATTTTTATTTATTAACTTGGATGTTTTTATGTTCTAAATAATTATCTCTTTGTTCTAAACTACAATTGCATATGTTCGAAACAATACGCTTATACATTAGTGGAGGTAATTGTGTAAAAAAAATTTAGAGTATGTAGAAAAATCGTAGAACATGGTAGGAAAATTTAGAACATGTATGTACATATTTAGAACATGGTAGGAAAATGATAACTGAGGATGTAGTTGAAAAAATTACAATTTCGAACATTTGATAAATAATTTAGAACAAATGAGTAAAATTTTGGAACATGTTCGAATTTTTCTAAGGGGGTGTCTTAATAACAATGTAGAACATATGAGTGATAAATTAGAACATATAAGTAAAAATTTAGAACAAACATGTTAGTTAGGTAAATTTCAATCTTGAATTTATGCTCTATATAATTAATCTCTTTGTTTTGAATCTGATTTGCATGTATACTATGAATTAATTATTATCAATAATGTTCTAAATCTTAAATTATTTTTTCTAAATTTAACTTATATGATCTAAGATTTTTATTCAATTGTTCTAATATTTTTATTCACATGTTCTAAAATTTTATTAACTTGTTAAAACTACTTTTCTGCAGAAATAATTAACAACAACGAAGAACTTGATAATGGTTCTAATGTCAATACAAGTGTGTCAATTACTCCTACAATAGTACCTATATTAACTCCCGGAGGAACAAAAGAATGGTTTCCTATGTGCCACAATGAGTTAAAACCTGCAGTAGGAATGAAATTTAACAGTGTTGATGAGGGTGAGGAATTTTATAAATCATATGCACTTGCTGCTGGATTTACCACAAGGAAATCTACCAGCAAAAGGCATACAGAGAAGAAATTGGCATTTCAATATATCTTATGCAATAAACAAGGTTTCCAGGAGAAAAAAAAGCCTATTGTTGAGAGTATTTCAAATGATAAAGAAGGACAAAGCAAGGAAAGCAAGGTTTCAATCACAATAAAAAGATTAGTCACTCGTGTTGGGTGCAAAGCTCTTGTGATTCTAAAACATTGTGAAGATGAAAAGTGTATAGTGACGCAGTTCCACGAAGGACATACTCATCCCCTTTACACACCAAGTTGTAATATATTTCAAAAAGAAGGAAGAAAGATGAACATTTTGCACAAAAAAATGATTGTTGATAATTCAAAGGTAACTCTTTCATATTATAATTTTTTACTCTGATGTTCTAATTTTTACTCGTATGTTCTAAAATATTATTCACATGTTCTAAATCTTAAATTATTTATTCTAAATTTAACTTATATGATCTAAGATTTTATTCATTTGTTCTAAAATTTTATTCACATGTTCTAAATCTTAAATCGGATGTTCTATATTTTTACTCACATGTTCTAAATCTTAAAACAGATTTTTAAAATTTTATCACAAGTTCTAAATTTAAAATCAGATGCTCTAAATAATTACTTACGTAGATGTTCTAAATTTTTATTCATATGTTCTAAATTTTAAATCATGTGTTCTAAATATTTAATCATGTGTTCTAAATTTTTACTCATTTAATCTAAAATAATACTTATGTTCCAAAAAGTTCTTTATATGTTCTAAAACTGTTTTGTGCCTATAATAGGTGAATATTGGTTCTGTAAAAACTTTTGGAATGATGAAGGAAATACTTAGAGGTTATAATAATGTTGGCGCTTCCAACCAAGATTTTAAAAATTTTCATAAAGATTTAAAAGTATTCATTCAAGGTTTCGATGCTCATATGTTTGTTGACAATTTCACAAAGAAAAAGTTGTTGAGTGCTTTTTTCTTTGATTTTGAAGTTGTTGATGATTCTTGTCTCTCTAGAGCTTCTTGGGCGGAGCCTATTTGTAAAAAAAAGTTATGCTCTCTTCGGTGATATGATATCATTTGACACCACTTTTCAAACTAACAGGTGATTCATATAACTTATGTCTTATGTTCTAATTTATGTTTTGAATGTTCTAAAAATTTCTTCTTATGTTCTAAATTTTTAGTCTAATGTTCCAAATTATGTTTAATATGCTCATAAGCTTTAACAACTCTTCATTCAAATGTTCAAAATAGTGATTCTTATGTTCTGATTACAATTAAGCAAACTTCAGTCTTGAACTTATGCTATAAATAATTAGTCTTCTGTTATGATTTAATCAAATGTTAATTCTTATGTTCTAAATTTTTAGTCTAATGTTTCAAATTATGTTTTATAAACTCATAAGCTTTAACAACACTTCTTTTAAAATGTTCTAAATAATGATTGTTATGTTATGATTACAATTAAGTAAACTTCTGTCTTGAATTTAAGCTCTAAATAATTAAGTAAACTTCTGTCTTAAATTTATGCTCTAAATAATGTCTTCTGTTATGTTTTAATCATGTGTTTTAAATATTAAATTATATATTCTAAATATTTAATCACGTGTTCTAAATTTTTACTCATATGTTCTAAATTGTTATTCACATGTTTTAAATAGGTAGTGTTATATTTTTTATATGATGAAATTTGATCTTCATGTTCTAAATAGGTACAACATGGTATTTACTCCATTTACAGGGGTTGATCATCACAAGAGTTGCATCACTTTTGCGGCTGGTTTCAAAACCAAGGAAGATGTTGAACCATTTGAGTGGCTGTTCAAAACATTTCTTAAGGCAATGGGCAACAATGAACCTAATTGTTTGATCACAGATCAAGATCAAGCTATGAAATTTGCTGTAAGTAGAGTGTTTCAGAAGTCTGAGCATCGGTTTTGTGTGTGGCATATAATGAAGAAGTTGCCAGATAAAGTAGGGCGAGCAATCACAGAGGAGGAAACGGGTTTCCTAAAAAAATATGTGCCTGTGTTTGGCATCTTGAAATTGAGTCTGCTGAGTTTGAAGAAAGGTGGATAAGGTGATGGTTGAGTTTCAATTGGAAGGAAATGAGTGGTTGCGTTATATGTACGAGATAAGGGACAAGTGGATTATGGCATATTTCAGAGATGTGTTCCTTGGAGGAATAATGCGTACAACATCAAGATCCGAAAGTGAAACAACTTTTTTTGCTATTTTATCAATCCTCATGTGTCGCTTGTTGAGTTTTACATGAGATATGAAGCTGCAATTGATGCCCAGAGACACACTCAAGGTCAGAATGACAATGATTCAAAGCACAAATACCCTGAGTGCAAGACACCATTAGGGATAGAAAAGTATGCCTCAAACATATACACTATTTATGTTTTTTATGAATTCCAATATGAGGTTGAAATGACTTGTTTTTCTTGTGGTTGTGAAGAGTTTAAGAGAGAAAATGGATTGGAAATTGCAAAAGTAAGTGAAGGGGATCGGATTAGAACATTTGATGTTGTGTTTAATCCGACTAACCAAGAGACAACATGTTCTTGCAAGTTGTTTTTTTAGGCAAGGTATTCCATGCAGGCACATGGTTTGGGTTTGGAAAGCAAAATGGTTTGAAATTATTCCTGAGCAGTATATTCTAAATAGATGGACTACTATGGCAACGAAAAGGCCAATTTTTGACCTAGGAGGAAATCTGTTGGAACAATGTGCCAATATAATCGACAAGAAAAAGTTGTTGAATGAGTTGTGGTCAGAGATACATAATTGTGTTAGTTTGGGAGAGGGCAACGATGAAGATATCAAAGACCTTGTGATTAATCTTCAAGGATTGAGGCTTGATTTGGAAGCTAAGAGGAGTGCAAGAAGTGATGTTGAAAAGAATGCTACTAACAAAGAAAAAGACATAGAACTATTAATTGGAGCTAGTGTTCTAACTAAAATATCTATCAAACCTCCAAAAATTTCGAAAAACAAAGGCATTGGAGTTCATGTGTCAAATGTACATACTTCAAATGTTGAAACAAGATCTGTAGAGACTTCAAATGTTGAAACAAGATCTGAAAGTGGAAAAAGGCTAAAGGGGGACAAAGAAAAGGCAGTAGAACATAACCAGAAAAAGAAGAGGTTATGCAAAGGTTGTGGGGAATTGAGTCACCATGATATTCGAAATTGTCCAAAAAAAGTTAGGCGATACTTAATGATTTTAGAACATTTTTTTGAATTTGTGTATTTAATAACACTTTTTTTTGTAGTATAAATATGTTTATAGTTTGGAACTTGTGAGTTTAAATTTAGTACATATGTATTAAAATTTAGAACGTATGACCAAATATTTTAAACACGAGTAATATTTTTAATTCATGTGTTTTGTTTGTTTTCGATGGGATTTCAAAATTAAAATTTTGACCATATGATTAAAACTTTGACTCAATTTCATTCAGAAGCATTTGGGTGGGAGGATATGAGTAAAAAAAAAAATAGAATATATGAGTTTTTATATAAAACAATATGAGTTATAATTTAAACATATATAAACATATAATTTAGAACATAAGGTTAACATTTAAGAACACATGAGTAATAATTTAGAACATATTTGTAAAAATTTAGAACTTATGGGTAAAAATTTAGAACTTATGGGTAAAAAAATTAGGGCATATGACTAAAAGTTTACAATAACATGCTATTTTTTGTTCTAAGGGGATTTCTAAATTACAATTTAGAACATAAAAATTTATATAACTTTATATATTTTTCATAAGGGATTTTGACATTAATATTTAGAGCATATGGGTAAAAATTTGGAACATATGAGTATTAATTTAGAATAAATTGTGTTTTTTATATTCTCACATAACAATGATGTAGATCACAAGAAAGACGAGACAAGCTTATATATTCGAATACAACATTTTAGAAAAATAGTTTTCGAGTGAAGGCTTACAATTTATAGTAAAATTATACTATATAAATTTCTACATGCTATTTCTAAAATTATATTACAAAATATTTTCTTTCGCCCATTTCCTTTATCTTGAAGTAATCTCATGATGTAGCTCATTTTCCTTGTGTGATAATATTTTAGCACGAAAATCTACCCTCAATTTCTTCATTTGATTGATCTGCAATATAATAAGATAAAATCATTAGACTTTGGTATCCACTATCCCACTTTTTACATCATTATAAAAAAAAAAATAGATTTACATACTTACATGATTCAATTTTAATCGGCTACTTAAATTTTACAATTTGGAACTTATGACTTTAAATTTAGAATATATGTATAAAAATTTAGAACATATGTATAAATATTTAGAACATATGAGCAACATGAGTAATACTTTAGAACAAACTTACATCATTCAATTTAGATACGCTATCCCACTTGGTATCTTTCTCACCATGATATGTTTCCATGTGTTTAAGCAAAAACACGCTGCAATTATCATTGTACCATTGGTCCTCCAACTCATTTTTAATGTCCTAGTTTTGAAACTAGAAACCTCTTGATTGCATTTTGATCTCTTGGTTGACAAGAACATGACAAAACCCCTCAACTAAAAATTAAACATAAAGAAAAGTATTAGAAAATGATATACAGAGTATAATTCTAAACATCTGAGTAATATTAAGAATGTATAAGTAAACATGTTAAGAGCATGAGTACTATTTGGAACGTGTAAAAAATTTAAAGCATCTGATTTAGAACATATGAGTATAATTTTAGTACATGTGATTTAAGATTTAGAACATTGAAATAAATGTTTAGAACATATGATTCTAAGCACAAGTAAAATGAGACAGATAGATATTACCAAATTCTTCGGATTGTTTTTGTATATGTAAAATGAGACAGATAGATATTACCAAATTCTTCGAAGTGGAAATTGCCTTGAATTGCTTATTTTAGACCTTTCCAAACAATCAAAATAGCATATCTAATACAAATATACAAAGAAAAATGCGTTAAACAAGGACATATTTTTAAAAAACCCAAAATAATATAAAAATGTACAATGTATTAAAAAAGAAATTACCATCAAGAAATGCAATGGACCGGTGAAGAAAGCTGAACCACCTTGCCATTCCACTTTAGACGACTTTAAACTTCTATACACATATTCACACCAATCCAAACATTCGATCTTCTTTGTATCCATGCAGTTATACAAAAACTTGTAATTTAAGGCTAGGTTGGCAGTGGATTTTATACTCCCTCCGCCCGTAGTTATCTGCACCATAGGACATATTTGCGGACTCCTAGGCAAAACTTTTAGTGGGTTTCAATTAAGTTTGAGTAGGTTTAATTAAGTGGGAAATTGGAGGGAAATTTATTATCCTACTTATTTTTATTTTTGGGTGAGTTTAAGATAGTGGGTAAAAGGTGGTAAAGAGTCCCACTCTTCCCCCTTTTTTCTGAATTTGGTGGGTGAAGGAGGGGAATTTTCTTCCCTCCTTTTCTTTTGGTCTGTAATTTGCTTCCCTCCTTTCTTTTTGGTGTGAATTTCGGTGGGTGAAGGATGGGTTTTTGCACCCAAATTTCAGATGTCCACCCAAATTTCACCCAAAATTCTAAAATTTCCCCCATTTTCAAATTTCACCTGAAAATCAATTTTTTTTCCCAAACTTCTGTTTCCCCCCAAAACCAAAACTTTGACCCACATTTCACATTTGACAAAATATTCAAAATTCACAACACATTCAAACATAAGGTGCCTAATATAAAAGGCATACATCATTGATTGTCCAAAATCGTAACACACCTCACCCACCATGGGCATTGAGTAAAGCATTCAAGTTTGTTAAAAAAAAACCCCATAAATTACAAGTTTCGTTAGTCAAAATATCTACTGCCTACACTAGATTAGTCCTACACTAAGGGCTGCATTAGGGTTCAGCTGCATCACCACTTCAAAAAACAACAGCGGCCAAAAACTTCATCACCTTCCTTCAAATCTGCAAAATCAAGGAAAAAGGGACACACAACACATGGAAGCATACTTTGATCAGGATTTTTTTGACATAGACCAATTGCTAAATGAAGGACCATTTGAGTACAACACAGATGCTGACAGCATAGATGATGAAACTGAGGGGGACAACAGTGAAGAGGAACAACAGGCAGAGGCATAGCCAACAAGTAGAAAGCAATTAAATGTGCAGCAGAAACGCCAAATGGTTGATGACTATCTACTGCACATGCATGGTGGGGAACTACCAAGAGGGTGTTTGTCACAAATGGCAAGAAAATATGGCATTCACAGAAGCACATCACTGAGGGTTTGGCAGTTTGTAAAGCAAAGTATAGCACAAGGGAATGTGATAGATGTCATAAGCAAAAAATTGGGAAAAACTGGTCCCAAACCCATACTTTATTTCTGATGAGTACTTGCAATCAGTGCCTTTATACAAAAGGACAACAAAGAGAAGTTATGCAGCTGCTCTAAAAGTTTCACATGGATTTCTCCATAGCTTGAAGAAAAAGGGCAGATTAAGAACACATACAAGCACCAACCATCCAGCACTCACATCAAATTACAAAGTGGCTAGACTCAAGTGGGCATTAGCCCATATTCACCCTATTCCAGCAGTTGGAGATCCAACTTTCATGGATATGCAACAAGTTATACACATAGATGAAAAATGGTTCTATATGAACCCAGAAACAAGGAGGTTCTACCTCTTATCAAAGGAAGAAAACCCATACAGATGTCAGCAGTCCAAGAGATACAAGATTAAGGCTATGTTCATGGGGATGATTGGTAAGCCCCTTTATGACATAAGTGGCAATATGCTACATGATGGTAAGTATGGAATTTTTCCATTCACTTACCAGTAAAGGGCTAAGAAGAAAAGCAAGAACAGAGATGCAGGGGTCATGGAGACAAAGGATGTGTAGAGTGTGACCAAAGAAGAACTCAGGAAAATGCTCATGACCAACATCATTCCAGCACTACAAAGGCAATGGAATCATAGTCTATCTAAGGACTTATTCATTCAATGGGACAATGCTAAGCCACATCAAATTCCAAGGGATGATGACTTCATTGTTGCATGTACATCAAATGGGTTCAACATTCAAATGGTGTTTCAGCCAGCACAATCTCTAGATCTGAATGTTCTGGACCTTGGTTTGTTCAAGGTTATTCAGTCCTTGCAATACCAGTCATTTCCCACAAAAATTGATGAATTAATAGAGAAAGTGTATGAGGCTTATGAATGGTTTGATCCAATACTCAACAAGTACTCATGGATCACTTTGTAAGGAGTAATGAAAAAGATTCTAGAGAAAGAAGGGGGTAATAACTTCAATCCACCTCATATGGGCAAGAAAAGGTTGGACAACATTGGTCATCTTCTTTAGTTTTTGGAAGTTGAAAGGGGACTCATTCAACAAGCAGTTGAGCACCTCAACACTCTTTTTATTCCAACTAATCAACACAATGCAGATTACATGGAAACAGAGGTTGATGCAGACTAGGTACAACACCATCATACAATGACAACATGACTTCCACACATAACCAAATATGGACTCACAACTGGTTTTTGTGTTAAGTAAGCAACTGTTTTTTTTTGTTGATGCTTATAATGATTTGGTTATGTGTATTTTGGTAGATAAACTTTCTTATTTTCAGGCACTCATGTAATGAAGATTAGGTTTAGGGTCTGTGAACATGTAAGTTTTTGAAGTGTAATGAATGAATATTAGCATGAATGTTGGAAAATGAATTCCATCAGGGAGTTTGCTTTTGTTGCGGTGGCATGTTGTAGGTTGTTACCTAAGCAACAAGAGTTAAAAGGCAGTTGTTGGAGCAAAACAAAGCTACACATCCAACTCAAAGTGAGTCCCTTCATCATTTGGAATTTGTTCACACACAAAACAATTTATGGGGGACTCATACAGAAAGGCACAGACACTGACTTCCAAGCACTACTAAGCAACATTCAAATGGGACTATACACAAACAACCATCCAACATAACCCATCATCCATCAACCATGCATTCTCTTGGTCATTCCAACACTACAAGCACCCACCAAATCCAACACAGACCATCCAACATAATCCATCAACATCAATCCAACATAATATAACCAAGCATACATAAACAAAAACTAGCAGTGTACACAAACAACCATCAAACATAATCTAGCGTCATATACAGAAGAATACATAATCCAACCTCCAAAACAACACAATCAAGCATCATAATCCAGCAACAAACAATTGTAGGAACTCAAATGCACACACTTCACATGCGTTTCGACAATGATAAGCACCAACAACAACCATTTAAACAGGCAAAGCTAAATCAAAACAACTAAAATCAAACTTAGGGTTTAGTAATAGTTACGCTGCAAGATCAGTTTGTGGGAGGGTAGTCATGAGGGTATTTTTCCCTTAGATAGGTCATGTAATCAGGGTCCCACTCACTGTAGTCCTCTGTAAACACAGATCTGGACCTTTTCCTCCCACTGGCAGAGCCAGAGGTGGCCGGAGCCGTTAGAGGGTCAAAGAAGACCACAGTCACCTCCTCCGGGGAGTCAGGAACCTCCACAACCACTACTGCTTCCTTCTAGACCCCCTTCTTCGCTAGATCTGCCCTCGAACCCTCCGGGAAGTCAGGAATCACCACAACCTCCTTCTCCTCTATGAATAAGGTAGCACCCTTCTTTTTTTCTTCATCACTCCCAGTGTACTCAACGAGTTTCGCTCCTATTTTTCCATGGGTGAATCTGGAAAAGGAGGAAGAGCACCAACAAACTAATTTCAAGATCCCAGTTCCTCGCTGCAACTTGTACCAAGTAAACGAAGGCTCAGTGTGCCTCTCAGGGGTGAGGCTTCAGGGGACTCGTTCAGATCTAGATTGTTACTCATTTTTTTGGAGAGAGATGAAGAAATTGTAGGGTTTCGCGGAGAAAATGGGAAGAACAACAAACGGAGAAGTGGAGAGAGAAGAGGGGAGAGAGGAGGCGTTTAAATGAATTTTGGAGAATTCTACTGAAGATGAATCAATCTGGGCTGCATTTCAAGGCCAATTCAATGCAGTTCATTGAATGTGGTGGTTGGGAGATGAAAGGTTGCTGATGAGACAGGAGGGGAGGGGGTCATATTTTAGGTGGGAATCATTGGGGTGAGTTAGATAGTTAGGAATTAATTCAGTGTAATTAACAAATTGTAAACAAAGTTAAAAGTTTTAGGTAAGGGTAAGGTTGACATTTTGCTGTTAAAAATTTACTAAAATAGGAAAAAAAATTGTTGCAGATTATAGAGAGCACCCATTTATGGCAAATGTTGCAGATAATTGTGGCGGAGGGAGTACAATAATTGCCAACAGAAACTACAAAATGCCAAATGAATTCATCACAAGCAGGTTTCTTCTTTAACTCTTCAATTCGATTAATAATCACAGAGTTTGATGGACTTCCACCACTTATCCCAAAATAAGATCTCCATCGTCTAATAAACTCAACCCATTCTTCATCCTCCTCTTGTCGGGGCTCTTTAATAATTTCTCCTCCCATCGGCAAACCATAAACCAAATGTATGTCTACAGGTGTAATTTCAATCTCTTGGTTCCTCTCAAGAACTAAAGACACCTTATCACAGTCAAAACTCGACACAAGCTTAGAGCAAAACATGGATTTATGTGAATCTAAGAAACCTCCAAAGCCAATTTTTCTAGTAGCCGCCCTACGATATTTGGGCAAATCTTTAAGCACAATGTTCTTAAAATTCTTAGGAGGAATCCGTTGATTTATTGTTCTACATTCCATTTGATCTACATGAATAATTTCAATATCATCATCAGAATCACTCTCATCAACCTTTCTTTTCCTTTTTTTCCCTTTGTCTTCCTTCTTTGGTTCTTTCTTCATTGCTTTGTTTTTTCGGAACATCTTTAGCTCTAACTTTAAGTTCTCCCTCAATTGGATCACCTCCTTTATTATCTACTTTGGTACTCTTGTTTACGTTTCCAGAAGATGTTGTAGCAAACTGATTAGAGGTTGTAGCAGCATCATCACCAACAGGATTATCAAAATTATCACTACAAATCATAGACATATAACATATATAAAGGTTAGAACACAAGGGAAAATATTTAGAATATAACATATGTGTAATAATTTAGAACATATGTACAAAAATTTAGAACCTATGGGTAAAAAAATTAGACATATAAACTTGTAGCAAAAATTAACAATTGGACTAGAATGTATATATACTGCAATACTCAACAAAATTCTAGTAGAAAACATAACAATGTGAGTAAAATAAGATTAAAATTAGAATTAAATTTACAACATACAAGTAAAGTTTTAGAACATATGAGTACAATTTTAGAACATATATAACATGCATAAAAAATTGAACGGTATCCATTGATGATAACCAACCTTTGAATCTGATCATTGTTTATAACTTCTAGTAAAGATGACTCCACAATTGGACTTCTGGTCCACTGATCATCATTTTTTACAGCTTCATCACCATCACTATTTGAAAAAAATAAGTATGTTAGAAGCTTTAAATAGAGATTAAAAACAAGGTACACTTGGTAATCTCAGCAGCCTAAGTTTATTCACAAAACAAGACAAGGCCCCAAATTCTACGTTGCAACCTTACACTTGACCAAAGAAAAAAAAATAAAAAAGAAACTTGTGGACAGAGAAGTGAAAAAGAATACGAGTGATGAGAAATCACAAAGGCTGTCTTCCAAGGAGATAAATAAAGAAGCTAGGCAATAGAAAAAAGAACACTATCATCCCAAGCCACATAAGGCATTATTCCCCAGAAATGAATAAACTGATAAACTTGTTGGCTAGTAAGACCAAAAGCCTAAGTGCCAACTGTTACACTATGTATTTCAAAGAATGATAAGAACCTAACCTTATATATTCCACAAAATTAAGCCAAATCCTATTGTTCCAAACTCACCAAATAAATCACGAAAGAAAGTACATATAACTTCAAGATATAAATGTATCAAGAATAAAAAATAAAAAAAAACTATGTTAGAAGCATGAACAGCCTACTCTAATCTTGGCTTTAAGTTATGAGTATGAGAAACAAAATCCTTATCCAACCTTAAAGCTCAGTCTACTAGTATAGATAACCTTAAAACCAACAAATTCGACCCCATTTTCAAGCAAATCCCCTAGCTTACTGCAACCTCTGTTCAACCCCGGCAAACCAAAAAAACCCAGCATAAATCGACCCCAAAACCCAACAAATACAACCCCATTTTCGAGCAGAACCCTTACCTTGCTGCAATTGTAGTTCGACCCGGCAAATAAAAAACCGCAAAATACCACCAAAATGACCCCAAAACCAAACAGTTTTAGCCTTGTTTTTAAGGACTTATGTTCAATTAGTACGAAATAGTTTGCCTTATGAGAAATATGTTGCACTATAACACAAGGGAAATTATTTCCAATTAGTACGACGTAGTCTTGTTTTTTAGGAAAGTTGTGTATTATGTAATGCTTTTGAGTCGAGTTAAATCAATTGGACTAATCAACATTTCGAATCAAGTTCAAGCTCGAGTTAATTTCATTCTATTCAATATAGAGTAAATTGTGTTCAAACAACATACAAGATTCTTTTTGATTTACCTCAATTCACTATCACTCCCACAATTCTGCTCAATCAAGTTTAAAAAATTAGCACCCTATACCAGCCACAACTTGACTTACATTGATGAAGAAAAAGATAATAAAAGATAAAATTGGCTAAAGATACTTGACTTACATTGAAAAGGGCTAAAACCTACAAAAAGAGTTGGTAAAAACACACCAAAACCATACCCACCATCAATAACAAACCCAAAGCCTATAGCTAGCTTAGGACTCCCAAATTTTGATCATTCCAAAATTAATCCCAACATTAATTATTAATTAGCAGTAATACCGTATAATTAACCTCTAATGATACCAAAAAAAGGTCCACAAACAAGAAACATGAAGCACTAATGCACGTATATCAATAATGACTAAGCCACTTAATTGTTGTCTCCTCTTTTCCTTGTTTTCCTCTATCTTTTTTCTTCTTGTGTTATTAACTTGATGCAACATAATCATGCACTAGGAGTATATGCTATTCTTTGAGCCACAAGCTATGTTTCTTTTCAATTCGACACCAAAAACTAACAAATTCGACACCAAAACCCATGGAATTCGACTAACAATGTATATCCCCAGAAAATTCGAGCCAAATCCCCCCCCCCAAATTCGAGCAAATCTGAGCCCACATTTTCGTGCTCTAACACGATAATTTAAAAATTAAACAAATATCAAAAAATTAAACCCTAATAAAATCGCTACTTACCGATTCGATGGAAAAACAGCTTGTACTGGAGATCTATTTGTGCATTGTGAATTGGTTGATCTACAAAAAATTAAACAAAAATTTACAAAAAAAGAGGAGAAAAATTTGAAAATATATAATTAAAATTCGTAAACATAAACTTACTTCTTTCTTTCATATGTAAGAACAGGAGATGTTGGTAGTAATTGATTCGAATCCATTTTCTGATTCACGAAGTAGCATGAACTAGGGTTTCTAGAGAGTGGATCGAATTTAGAGAGAGAAAACCCAATTTTAGAGAGAGAAAAAAATCAGTGAAAGTGGAAAAAGGGAATGGGATATATCAGCAAGCAAAATTACAATTTTGCCATTACTGTAGCATGTTTTGGGCGGTTGGATTGAATCTAATCTACGGCTAAGATGTATTCTCATATAAGTGAGTTTCTCATATAAAGCCTAAATTCTCACAAGAGTCTTCCCCTTAAACAAAGTTTTATTATATATATATATATATATATATATATATATATATATATATATATATATATATATATATATATATATATATATATATATCTCCTATACTTATTTTCCAAGAAAAGTTTTATTTCCTTAAACTATTTTCATGATCATCTTACAATTTAACACTTTTCATAAGCTATTTTCTAATTATTCTTCAAGCAAGCACTTGCCTTAATTTTATTTGTCATCCATTTAATTACCTTAAATCTACACTTTTTTCCATATTTCTTTCTATATGAGCTTACCATAATTCTTGTAATCCTACATGTAATACCTCGTATTTTTAAAACGTATTTTCTAATTAATTAATTAATTATTATTTTCTAAAAAGGGTATTTTAGTAATTTATTTTACTATTTGAATTTTGGAGCCAAAATGATATTTGAATTTTGACGCCAAAAGTATTTTAAAACTTTATTATTATTTTTGGATTTTGAATAAGATTTATTATTCATTTATTTTATTTTTAAAATCGGATTATTTATACATATTTCGGATTTTTAAATTAAGCAAAATTATATTTTATTATTTAATTAAGTGGTCCGAAAATTCCTAATGATTAGCTAGGGATTTTAGATTTTCCTAGTGTGGAAAATCCGATTTTCTTAGTTAATTTATTTAGTGAATAATTGGTATTCTCTTAATTAATTATTTTGTACAATATATATTGTTTACACAATTATTTTTAATCCCTTAAAGCTAGAAAAATAATTCCCTAAATACTACATGAGGGGTCCGAAAATTTGAGCTATGGGAGCTCAAAATTTTCGGCCACCTTGGTTGGATTTTGGGTGATTTATTTTGGTAATTTGTATTTTTAATTATCTCCCTTAAATCTTTTATTTTTCCTTAATTCTTATTTTTCATCTCCTAAATATTTGATCATCTTATTTCCCTACCTTATATCATCCTTGATTATTCCCCAAGCAAAGGCTTTTTGCCATATTATATTTTATGACAACACACTTTTCTTAAATTAATTATTTTTAGTCACCTTAATATTTAACTTTCCATAATTCTTTAGCTCTCTTCTCCAAGTAATTTCCTTAATCATTTTCACCATAATTCTTCCTACATTCTCCTACCATAATTCTTGCATGAGCTAGCCTTATAAATACCTCTTGATTCATGGCTAAATTCTCACACCAAATTCTCTAATTCTCTCTTACTTTCTCTCTAATTCTCTTCTCTTTTTCTCACCTTTTCTTGCGCCAACCACCACCGATCACCACTCTCCGCCATTGCCACTGCCGGCTGCCACCAGCCGCCCCTACTAGCCACCTGCCGGAAGGCTACTGCCCCCTTGTCGCCACCTCTTCTTCCTCTTTTTCCTTGGTTTTCTACCTCTTCTTCTTCTCTTCTCTTATTTAATTAATTATTATTATTATAGGGGAATGAGTAGTTTTAATTAAATAAAATCAGATTTTTATTAAAGTTTATGAAATATAATTTACAAGGTTCATGTACATATAGTTGGGGGTTTTTAATTTAATTGTTGTGATTATTTGTTAACCTTATATTAATTAAGGTTATATTTATTTGTAGGGTGTGTTTGATCAAAGTTCTTGACGTTCGTTTGTGTGTTGCTAGCAAGGTTCAAAGGTACGTTAGGTGGCTAGATACTTTTGAAATTGATTGGATTGAATGAGCATGTGTTATATGATTATTTTGGTGATTGAATTAAATTAAATTGAATTATGATTTAGGAAATAAAAGCATGTTTAAAGTATTGGTTTTGATAAATAAATTGGAGGATTGATTTAATATCAAGTTTTGAATGATTAAAATTATTTATCATGTTTTAAAGGTTTGATTTTGAAAGCATGTTGAATTTAAATAAAAAGGAGTTTGAGTTATTTATTGGAATTATTGAATTATTTATAAAAGCTTTACAAGCATGATTATTATACTAATCCCACTATGCGGATTCATTGAAGACTATGGACTTTGCATGACCTAGTCTTTCCTCAAGAATAGCCTTGAAATAGTAGGAGACTAGCTTGAGGGGTGTGCACACTTAGAGAGGAAATTGGGTTTTTGAACAGAATTGATTTATTTATCATTATTATTGAATTATTAAGCTATTGGAGTTATATTGAGAATTGATTTTTAAATCATGAGTTTGGAATTATTGAATTAATTATTGGAATTGGTTTTAAAAGCACGTTTGCAAATTAATTGAGTTTACTTATCTTGCACTTATCGTACTTAGCATATTTTGCTAATCCGTATTTCCTATTTGTTTTGGTCACCCTGTTTGCCTTAATGGTAAGCAGTGTTGACTGTTTTCACGTGGAGTCAATAATTGAGCATATGGGAGTCCCGGGATGTTGTTCACCTAGAATTAAGAATGTTGGTCTTTGTTGGTATTATGAGTATTCATGACAATGGTTTCTATTTATAGTTTGAGTTTCCGCTGCAAAGTATTGGTTTTGGTAAGTAGTTTGAGTAGTCTTGCATAATCACGCGACGGTAATACGCCTAAGTCTATCCCTACGTTATAATTATACGTATTATACTAGTATTTCCGTATAGGGAGATTTTGGGGGTGTTACACGACAACTATAAATACCTCCTCCATACATCTCATATTCTTCATACCAAAACTCAATTCTCTTCTTCTCTCTTATTCTTCTTTTCCCTAAACTTTTTCCTGGTTTTTTCCTCCTCATTTCATACAAATATTATCCTGTATACCTTTGAAGCCAATTTTCAGGCATTTCTGGTCACATTTTGGGGTTTTAATGTTTCACAGAAGGTTTTCCCTTTCGAAAACTCCTTGAGGTTAGGCTCAAGAATCACCCAATTCGGAGTTATATTAAAGGAGTTATGGTCTCTGCAAGTTCAGTCTATTCTTTCCAATGCGAATTCAATTCTCTTTAATTCTATTTCCTTATTTTCTTCACGGTTAGTTTTCTAAAATATACTTCCTTCGTTTCTTTATAATTGCAACATATACTTTATCACGGTATTAAGAAAAGTGGACCTCACATAATATGATACACTTAAAATGGGGTTAAGAGATTGTTAGGAGTATAATCAAGTGGGCCGGGCCATGAGATTTAAATAAAGGTAATAGTATAATTTTCACCACAAAAACCTTCCTTTTATAGTGTGTTGCAACTATTGTGACATTTTAATTTTAGGGAAATGTTGCAAATATAAAGAAAGGAAGTATACATTTATACAAAGTTATAATTTTATGTTAAAATATTCTTTTTAAAGAGTTTTATAGTCCATGCACATATAGATTTGGGTTTATGTCTAAAGAAGTTGTGATAACCTTATGGTTACATTAATTGCAAGGTGTATTCGTGATTGAACTTTAAAAGAGCGAAGTGTTGATTTGAGATTCGGAATCAATGTACGTTTGCTGGCTAGATACTTTATCAAGTGATTGATTGATCAACATGTTTCATATGATTTTAATGAAATTGAATTAAATTGAGTATTATGATTTATAAAATAAATTATCTTTGAGGATTTGATTTTAATGTATAATAAATATATTTGAGGAATTGATTTTAATATCATGATTTGAATGTTTTGAATTATTTACAGGAATTTGATTTTAAAAGTAT